AGTGGTAGAGTACTTGCCTTGAGCTGAAGAGCTGAGTTCAAGCCCCCAGACCAACAACAACAAAAGTAATAATAAGAATTAGCTGGGCATCAGTGGCTCACCCCTGTAATCCTAGCTACTCAGCAGGCTGAGATCTGAGGATCTCAGTTCAAAGCCAGCCCTGGCAGGAAAGGCCGTGAGACTCTTATCTCCAATAAACCACCAGAAAACCAGAAGTGGCGCTGTGGCTCAAGTGGTAGAGTGCTTATCTTGAGCTTAAGAGCTGAGGGAGTGCCCAGGCCCAGATTCAAGTCCCACAACCGACAAAAAAATAAAATAAAAAGAATAAGAATTGGGCGGATCTCCGGTGGTTACTGAGTTCCAGTCATCCCGCCTTATCTGTGAGGAAACAGGCAGGGCTCAGGGAGAGGCTGGACGTGCCCAGGGCCTTGCGAAGCTGCTAGGTAGATCAAGACCCAGAGCCAGGACCAGTGCATGCAGCACCGAGTCCTTGGGGACATGTAAGACTACAGTGCAGGGTCACACTCACACTGCAGTGTAGTCTCCCTGCTCCGGACTGGGGCTTGATTAAATATTATGAATCAGCTACTTGCCTGGCACAGAGTTAGAAGTCATTCAGTGCAAGGCTTTTTGTTTCTGTGTTTACAAAAAGCTGAGCCATAAACCTTTGTTTGATGAGATGGGGAGCAGAGTGACTCATGGGCCTTGTCTAAGGCCACCTGGGGACATCTGGACATCAAACTTGCAGGAGCACCAAGTCAGGAAGGGCTGGAGAACAGGAGACTCCAGCCACCCATGCCAACAGCTGTGGGACAAGCTGGGTACGGTGACTGTAACCTGAGCTACTCAGGAGGCTGAGATCTGAGGATCTCTGTTTGAAGCCAGCCTAGGCAGGGAAGTCTGTGAGACTCTTATCTCTAATTAACCAGCAAAAAGCTGGAAGTAGAGATGAGGCTGAAGAGGTAGAGTGCCAGCCTTGAGGAAAAACAAAAGCCCAGGCAGGAGTACAAAGACCCAGAGTTCAAGCCTTGGCACCCATGTGTGCGTGCGCGCGCACACACACACACACAGAGGCACGGATGTCTATAAAACCTTTCTGTAATCTGCAACAGTAAAAAATTTAAAGTAATCTGAAGAGTCTCAGTATCAGGGAAATTGTAAGGTAAACTGTGACACATTCTTTTGTCAGTCATGGGGCTTGAACTCAGGGCCTGGGTGCTGTCCCTGAGCTCTTTTGCTCAAGGCTAGTGCTCTACCACCTTGAGCCACGCTTCACTTCTGTTTTTTTGGTGGTTAATTGGAGGTAAGAGTCTCACATACTTTCCTGTCTGGTCTGGCTTTGAACCAGGATCCTCAGATCTCTGCCTCCTGAGTAGCTAGGATTATTGGTATGAGCCACCAGTGCCCAGCTTGATACATTCTTTTTTTTTTGTTGGTCATGGGGCCTGAACTCTGGGACTGGGGCACTGTACCTCAGCTCTTCAGCTCAAGGCTAGTGCTCTACCACTTGAGCCACAGCACCACTTCCAGATTTTTTCTGCTTATGTGATGCTGAGGAATCGAACCCAGGGCTTCATGTGTGTGAGGCAAGCACTCTCCCACTGAGCCAACTTCCCAGCCCCTTGATACATTCTTTATATTGTTGTTATATTCAAGTTTTTTTCCCCCAATAACACAGAAACATGTTTCCAATATATAGTTTTTGGAAAATGTGCAAAATTACATGCAAAGCTTATACTTCCGGCTATGAAGACATAATTTGTATCAGTCTAAGCATCTCACAAAGACCATCAGATAACAGCTGTTTATATGAGTGCTATAGCTCATGCATGTATTCCTAGCTTGCTGGGAGGCTGCGATCTGGAGGATGACAGCTTAAGGTCAGCTCAGGTAAAAAGTGCATGAGAGAGATCCTATCTCAACAGCAAAAGCTTGATGTGGTGGCACAGGCACACACCTGTCATGCCAACTATGACGGGAATCACAAATAGAATGATGGTAGTTCAGACCAGCCCAAGCAAAAATAGTAGACCAAATCAAGGGCTAGAGGCATGAGTCCAACAGTAGAGGGCCTACTAACAAGTTAAAAGCCTGAGATCAAACTCTAACACTGCTAAAACCAAAAACTTGTAACTACTCCTTCTTCATTGCAAAAGGGCTGGGCTGGATAGCCAGGCTGGGACTAGCAGAGATCTCTCCCTACAACTCAGCTGGTAAGCAGGTGCTCATGGCCCAGATGGCAGAAGGCTCCTCACCACCCACAGACAGCCCCTTCCAACATTCGTGGCGGGCTGTGAGGCCGCCCTTCTGACACTAGGCTGACCATCTCCTGGTCACTAGCCTGGCTCCATGACGTGGGCTAGGCACACGGCTCATAGCAGAAACATTTGATTATGATCACTTGGGCTGGCCGGGTACTGGTAGCTCACGCCTGTGATCCTAGCTACTAAGGAGGCTGCGATCTGAGGATCGTGGTTCAAAGCCAGCCCGGGCAGGAACATCCGTGAGACTCTCATCGCCAATAAACCACCAGAAAACTGGAAGTGGTGCTGTGGCTTAAGTGGTGAAGTGCTTGCCTTGAGTTGAAGAACTCAGGGACAGAGCCCAGGCCCAGAGTTCAAGCCTCCTGATCACCACTACCAACAACAAAAAGATCATCTGGTCTCTGCAGTCTGGGGTTCCCAGGGATAACATGATGCTTGTGTGTGTGTGTGTGTGTATGGGTGTTGGTTGTGGGACCTGAACTCTGAGCCTGGGCCTTGTCCCTCAGCTCTTCAGCTCAAGGCTAGCACTCTACCACTTGAGCCACAGCACCACTTCTGGCTTTTTCTGCTTAGGTGGTGCTGAGGGCCTCATTACTTTTGGGGGAAAACATATAACCTAATGCTACCTTTGTGTTATAATGAGCACAGCAATTATATGGATTGGACCACACAAGTCTCTTATTCAAAAATAAAGGCCTGGGCTGTCCAGGGCCCCCTGTGACTCAAAACAAGGAGAAGACTTGGTCAGACAAGTGGTCCACACAGCCTGGGTCTTCCAGCCCCTCCAGGGAGCTCCGAGGGCAGCAACAGAACGCACAAACCCGCACCAACATTCAACGCCGCTGCCAGACAGTCTGTCCTCGAGGCCACCCGGGTTCCTGGAAATGTCAAGTGTCTGTCTGGGGCTGGCGTCACCTTTGAGTGGAAGGGCATGCGCATGGCACGCGCATGGGGACTGGCAGGGAGATGTTCTAGTTTGGTTTCACAGCTGGGGACTGGAAGGAAGAATCTGAGACTGTGTGTGAGAGGAAACACTTGGGAGCCTGGCCAAGGCCCTCCATCTGAGCTTTGCTGGGAGGAGGCAAGAATTACACCCACTGCCCATCTCTGGGTCTCATGGAAGCCAAAGGGGACCTGGCTGAGCACCGGCTGGGCCTCCATGGGCTTGAGTGTGGGCGCAGCACGCAGGCAAGGGGTCTTAGCTAATGTTGTGTCTCATTCCGGTGCTGGCCTGCACATGGACAGGGCTTGGGGGGCCTTTGCCTCCCACCCCTGCGGACTCCGACACGCAAGACTGCTGGATGAGCCAGCGTCCCACAGCCACTCATTTGTGGGAGGGGCACAGAGGCGTGATGCTGATCTGGAGGCCAGGTCCACTGGGTGAGAGACACCCTGCAGTCACAGAAAGCACTCTGGGAAAGGAGCAAGCCCGGCAGTACGCACCTCACCAGGGGTGAGCAGAGGTGGTAGGGTGGCGCCACAGGCCTGACCCAGGGGACGAGAGTTCTCTCCTGGGGGAGGGGGTTCTGTCATCTCTGAGGGTGTCCTTCAGGGGGAATATCATCCACAAGGGTCTCGGGGGGGGGGGGAGGGCTGTCTCCCTCTCCAGGTGGGACAAAAACAGAGGCAGGCTGGTGATGGCTGAGGACGTTCCAGGCCTCCCTCCCGCCTGCTTGAGCCCTGGAGCAGTGCCAAGGGACTGGCTCCATCTGGTCTGCTGCAGGCCGGTACCTCGGTCAAACCTGGGCTGAGTGCTGATGACAGGCTGTCCTCACCGGCCAGCTGCAGCCTTCCGTTATCTGTGCCAGCCTCAGGAAAGCGAGTGAGGGAGGTGCTGGGGGCTGGGAAGGACCCCTGCCCAGGGTCAGTCATCTTGCCCCCCCCCCCCGTGTGTCAGAGAGCTGGGCGCGGGGCAGCGGGGTGTCTGTGGCACAGTGCTGGCTCAAGTGGCATCTTATGTGGTCTCCATCATTGGCTCTCTATATCCTCAGACTCTCAGTGTTTCCCATCCGGAAGTGGGGTCCTCCATGTGCCCCCAGGAGACAGGCCATGGCCTGGGGACACAGACTACAAGGTAATGCTAAAGCCCCACAAACCTAGGGCAGAGCAGTGGATGGAGAAGGCCCAGGGCCTGGGCAGTGGCCGCCTGTGACCAGCACCATGGAAGCCTGTCTGTCACTCACAGAATGGTGTGGCAGGGTGCCGAGGCTGACCTTAGGTCATCAGGACACCCAGGGTTTGGCTGGGGGAGCTGAGGAGGGGCAGCTCTGAAGGAGGCTTTGCAGGGGGAGGCCTATGCTCAGCCAAGGGGCGGGAGCGTGGGGACCCTCTAACCAGACAGAGCTTGGCTTTGTTCCTGAGCACACAGCCTTCTGCTTGTCGCAAACTCTTCTTGAACAGGGCCGAGCTCTGTCCCAACGGGCAGGAAGTGGCATGCGTGCACTAGTATTTGTGGGAACATCCTTCACCCAAACAAAGCCAACTGGCTGGTGAGAGGTGGGGGCCCCTGACCTGGGGACCCAAGCCCTGGGCAGTCACCCCGCTGTCTTCAGGCCCAGATCTAGGGGTGGGGTGGTGTAGCAGCCTCGTAGGCCTGTGTTCCCCCTCCATGGCCAGGACGGAAGTACAGACACCCCAGAAGCCCTGGGTTCAAATCTCAGCACCCTGGCCAGGCTGGCTCTTTAACTCCCCAACCGAGCAGCAGTCAGAGGCTTCCCAGGCACACAGGAGACAGGATGGCGGAGAACACCACGTGTTTCCTTATTGCATTAACAACAAACATGATTCCATTTCTAGAGTAAGAGCACCAGGCATTCCCCAGACATTCCTGAGACAGTCCCATGTTCCCAAAATCTGCGGGCCAGCAGAGATGGCTTCCCAGGGGCGGGCAGCCAGGGCGGGTGGCTGTCATCCACATTTTCTCTCTGTTCTTCCGTGGCAGTGTCCCCAGTGCTGCGTGGGGCAGGCTCTGCTGCAGGGACACAGACTCCAGGCCAGAGCGGGCAGGGCCTCTGGAACTGGCCTTTGGCTTTGCAGACAGCAAGGACAACACTGGGGCCTGCCTGCCTGCGGCTGTGCCCTCACTGTGGGGCCGGGGGGGGGGAGGGAGGGCAGCACCTGTGAACCACACACCACACCAAGGCCACAGGCTAGAGCTCTGGACAAGGGCAGGCAGCGGCCGCTGCCTCCTCTGTGGACCCCACCAAGGCGGAGCCTGCGAGTGATCTAGCTCAGGGCCTGGCTGGCCCGTCCCTCCCTCCCTATTTGGAAATATCATGCATACCCCTAAAGCCTCGTCTTCCTGGGCTTTGCTCTGGCCAGGACTCCAAGGATCTTCTTCCCTCACAGCCACTGCCCAGTCTTTTCTCTCAGCCAGGCCCCCAGCCCAGACTGTCACCTCTGGCTGCCACTCAGAAGCAGTCCAACCTCACCCTCAGCCGCTCGCTACTGGGGCTCCCCCGCAGCACCACGGAGGACACAGCGCAGGGCCGGCAGAAGAGCGGCTGGGTGGGCAGCTCACCTCCTGCGCCCCTGGGGACGCCCAGCCACCAGCGCTCTGTTCTGGCGGCTCCAGCCTCGTGCTTCTTCAGCCACACCTAAGCTGCTCCTGTGGCCATCCCAGGGACATGGGGACCGCAAGCCGAGAGGCTGGGGGACACGGTCAGAGATGAAGGGTACTAGCGGTGTCCAGGGGCTATTCTGGGGGTGGCCTCGAGCAAGCATTCCATCCGGCTGGAGGCACCGTGGGTCCGCAAGACCCCGTCCCACTGTGTCGCCACAGCTTCTATGCTTGGATCCTGCTCTGAGGGACAGCTACGGTCCTGGCTGGGGCTGCCCAGCGAACCCAGCCACCAGCCTATGTGGTGGCCAGGTGCACACCAGCCACAAAGTTTGTACCCGTGAGCTCCACAGCCCGCAGTGCCATGGGCCAGAGCCTGGTGCACGACGTGGGGGTGTCCACGGCCCCCAGCACAGGCCGTCCCCATGCACCCCACGCGGGGACCGGCGAGACTGCGCTCCTTGCCCAGGCCTATGGCGCTGTCGTCACGCTCTGTTCACCATGGTCCACACTCCAGAGGCGGTAAAACTCAGCAAAGTCCACGTAGGGCTCCACTCGGCCATCCTCGCCTGGTGGGAGCGAGTGGGCGGGCCGGGAGCGGAAGAGGCCCCCGTCGGAGCTGGAGCTGCTGCTCTGCGTGTGTGTATTGGTGGACTGCAGGGTCAGGGTCGGGCTCTGGCTGCAGAAGGAGGGAAGGGAGTCAGCGGGACAACTGAGGCAGGGCACTTTAGCTCCCAGCCTGCAGACAGAGCCCAACCTCTGGTGGGCTGCAGGCCTGCCTATCAAAGATGGCTGTAAGAGCCAACCAGATGTTCTGAGGGACACAAAAGCTGTCAAATGCATTCTCGCTATATTGTCTAGGTGGCCATGAACTCAGGATCCTCCTGCTTCAGCCTGAGTGCTGGGATTGTAGGCAGGTGTCACTATGCCAAGCCTTCAAGAGTATTTCAGGGGGCTGGGAAGGTGGCTCAGTGGTAGAGCGCTTGCCTTACATGCCTGAGGCCCTGGGTTCGATTTCTCAGCACCACATAAGCAGAAAAAAAAGCCAGAAGTGGCGCTGTGGCTCAAGTGGTAGAGCGCTAACCTTGAGCTGAAGAGCTGAGGGACAGTGCCCAGGCCCAGAGTTCAGGCCCACGACTGGAACCCCCCCACCAAAAAAAAAGGGTATTTATCTGACTATATGCGGCTCTTTAAGCTGACAGAGGGTAAATGGAACAGTCACGTGGTGTCAGGGCTGAGCAGCCATGCATGGTGACCTTCCTCTGTTAGGGAAAGTTCTACTGAGGCTCTGAGCCACTCCAGTCTCAGCCTTGGACCACAGGCAGGCAGGACCCCTATTCCAGGAAACTTTCTGCCTCCTGTGGACTGGGTGCACAACTGCTGCCTGCCTGTTCCCAGCATGCACAGCACCAGCTCAGGCTGGCCCGCATGGGACCTGTCTTAGCTAGGGGAGGGCAGAGGTCTTGGAGGCCCAGGGAGTGAGGCGGAGGACACTAGCTCCTCCGTGGGCCACAGTGATCAGCTGTGTGGACGCAGCTGGTGGCTTCCTGGGGTGGGGGTGGGGCGAGGAGAGGACAGGCTGACCCCGTTCAAGGATTGCTCGAGCTGCCCGTGGCTCTGGGACTCCCGGCTGCCTGGCAGACTCTTCCTGCCACAATGTTAGCAGCAGATCTTGTAGGCAGAAGGCAGGCCCGGGGCAGGCCGAGGCAAACAAGGCCCTTCTAATTGGCCACATCCTGCCTGCTCCATCCTGATGGGCTGGGTGTGGGATCTGTTACCCCTGCAGGGCTGTAATATGGAAACCAGATCCCTTCCCGCCCCCCACGGGGTGCTGGCCTGTCCCACAGGTCTATAGGGAGGCGTCGCTCCTGCCCAACCCCATCCCCACTTCATGAATGTCCCTCTCCCTAAACTAGACAAACCTTTAAAGCTGAAACCCGCATGGACCCTTGGGGGAGCAGTGGTGGGAGAAGCATGGCAGGGGCAATGGTCCCCGGCAGACCCAGAGGTCCCCAACACAGAGCCCATGGAGAGGTCTAGCCTAGGCTACACACTCCCACATGGGAGAAAAGAACAAGAGAACCTGCACAAAGCAAGGTCCACAGCAAGGATGTGGCCTGACCCAGCGGATGGTGGACTGTCCCCTCCAGCCCTCCGGGGCCACCCAGGTCCAGCTTTACCAGCAACCATCTATGCTGCCCCAGGGGTGGGGGTGGGGCTGGAGAGGTCCAGCATGGCGGGCACAGCCCAGCGCCTTGGCTTACTTGGTGAGGGTGGGGGTGGCTTCATCCAGGGTGGAAGCGCTGTGGGCCCCGTTGACCATCTGGCCTTGGGACGGCATGACGAGGGACAGGGTGACACTGGTCTTGCTGGTGCTCTGGGCACTGGAGTAGGGCACGGACACGGGGTACACACGGCCCCCTGCAGCTGTGGGAGGAAGACAGCGGTGGGTAGGAGGAGGGGGTGGGACGAGGCATAGGGACATTGCTTCTCTGGGCTGAGGGGTTGTAGACTGGGAGGCTCCCCGAGCCCCCAAGGGGCCCTGGATCCATGGAGCAGCGCAGGAGCAGAGCCCTCCCTTCTGCACGGAAGCTGTGCTGAGGCAGGGTGGGTGACGGCCCAACTTCCCCTGATGGCTTAGTCCACAGAAGTCTGCTCCTCGCTGAGGCTAACCAATAAAAATACGGCTGCAATAAAAAGCCAGAGAAATGCCAGCAACCCTGGGGTCTGGGGGAACACACCCAGCCACTAAGTTCAAGTTCTAAGATTTGCTTCTTTAAAACAGGAAAGGTGCCAGGCGCTGGCGGCTCACGCCTGTAATCCTAGCTACTCAGGAGGCTAAGATCTGAGGATCGCGGTTCAAAGCCAGCCCGGGCAGGAGAGACCGTGAGACTCCTG